TAGCGGTGGTGAGCGTGAAGTCATGTGACCGTGCTGTAGTTCCTTTATAGCCCAACATTAGCCACCTTTAGCTTAGCGGTGGTGACGTGAAGTCATGTGACCTGTGCTGTAGTTCCTTTAGTAGCCTAACGTTAGCATTTTACTTCTAAATTCATAGAGTGGTGTTAATATGTGGAGATTATGCTGCTGAACAAAATGTGTAAGTATCATAAAAGATCCAATTACAGTTACATGAGGGAGAAGTAGTAGTAGACAACATTTGTATGATGAAGTAGTTTTGTAGCTCAGGTTTAGTGAATGGGGAAGCAGCCCGAGTTAAAATTATCAGCTCACACAGCCAGAGAGCAGAGGCCGACCGTGACCACCTGAGGACAAGTTGTTGGTATTAACTGGACAAAATGCTCCGACTGATATCTGCTCCTCTTCACGCTCACTGGAGCTCAGCAGCAACAGCAGCTTCACAGAGGAAGAGCAACGTGATGCTGAGTTGTATCTGTAGCTGCAGAGAGTTATTGAGGAGGAATAAAAACATCTCTGCTCTGCAAGAGGTGGTCAAAATGTTTTAAATTGCTTATTCAAAAAGTTAATATTCTAAAAGCCCCCTTACATAACATTTGGGATGTGGATTGTGTCCACTACACTTACACCCCACAAATCCAAATATTATGGGCAAAATATTATTTTAACTAAGCTTTTAATTATTTATTTACCTTTCATGTTTTTATTTGAATTTCTTTATATTAAAATGAATTATTTAATTATATTTACACATTTTGTAAATATCAGTATTGTGGTCACGAATTGTGTCTTATTTCAATCCTACTTCTACCGAGAGGGTTATCTTTTGTCAACTTTTAGATAATTTCCTAGACTTCTTTTGCTTATTTTAAATTGTTGTTAGTTTCAGCATTGTGGTCACGGGGGAGGCCTCGCTGCACGGTGGCTGTGTGTGGATGCTGGGGAGATGATGCGATGATGGGATTTGTACCTGGGATGGTGGTGGGGTCGCTGGCGGTTCTGAAGGAGACGACACCCGGCTCTGATTTTCCCTGCTGGTTCTCGGCCACCACGTACACCTCGTACTCCGTGTTCCAGTCCAGGCCGCTCAGCGTCGTGTACTCGCTGTTTTGAGGCATTCGGATCTCTGGCTTCCACTCAGACACGTGCTTCTGAAAGATAAAAGAATATACGCAGGACACAAATCAACACTGTGCACTCAACTGTTAAACACCTGAACTTTTGAAAGAACATCCATAACATTCATCTGTTTGCAACTAACAAGTTATGTATCTAATATATCATATTCCAATTACTTGTACACAGACTCTCCTTGCACTATTTCTATTGATTTGATTTGTATTTACTTGCACTATTTTATGTCTTTTAATGTGTAGCGTTGGCTAATCTTCCTGGGGTCCTCACTGACACTGTCAAACATACATAAAACTAAACTAAAACAAAACAGCTCATAATTTCATACAATTTACAGTGCTAAATGAAATGAAAACTAAAATAGTCATCCAATGTTAGCCATCATAAGGCCACACAATAATACATACATAGCCACAGGCACAGTTCAATTATACGTTATAATACTGAGATTTCTTTTAGCAACCTTTTGAATTGTACATGAGACTTTCATGAATGAAAAGTGAAACCTTTCACATCAGCTTTAATATCTTCATTCAAACTAAACTAACCATTGCATATGTTGTATTATACATATCTTTACATATTTTGTTGATGTTATATTTTGTACAATGTGCATGTACATGTTCTATAATTTATTTAGATAATTTTGTTAATTTTTATCTTTTTATTGCACATTTTCCCTTTAATATGTTATGTTAACAAACATAATTGTAAATCCTATTATTTTTAAATCTTTGAATAGCCTACTCTTACTTTAACTTCTTAGTTTTGTAAACATATATATTTTATGTTTTATCTACACAATTACGCACTGTCATGAAACCCAGTTTTTCACCAGAATAAAAATAGTAATATACAATAATAAAAACAATTAAGAATATGTGCACTTTTTACGGCAGAGGGTTACATCGTATTCCTGCTTGTAGCTGTTTGGTGAGTATTTCCAAGATTGGTTATTAACATTAATTATGAAACCGCTGCAATATTTAAAAAAACCTCTGCACTCACAGCCTTGTATCGGACCAGGTAGTGTTTGATGGGGGATCCGCCGTCGTCCTGCTTGATCCAGTTCACCTTCAGAGAGTTGCCCCTCTCCAGGACCTTCACCTCCAGTTTAGGTGCACTAGGTTCCCCTGCACAGGAGAAAGAGAGCAATAAGTTGACATACATATGGTTGTTGCATCAACATTAGCCTCTAAATGCAAGTAAACTACTCTGCTTCTACTCCTACTACTATTGTAAAGTTCGCTTGAACCTACACTGTAAAAAAAAAACGCTTATATTAGCATTTCTTAAAGGAAACTGTGTTGCTGAGTTTGGGGGAATATAGTGGTGCAGGAATGAGTTTTAAAGCCGAGAAATTAGTCGGCATTTTAGCCCTTCTTGTTTCCTTGTCTGGAAGTCACTGTTTTTTTTGGACGTGTTTTACTGTAGGTTAGAAGCCTGAAATAAGGTCTGTGGTTAACACAAGCTGAAGAGATTTTGTTCTGCGACATAAAATACACCAGTAAATACCTCACTGGTGAATTTAAAAAACGGCGGTTGCTAACAAGTGTCTAATTGAGACGACTACGCTTCATCACGACCAACATTAGCCTCCTTTAGCTTAGAAGTAACTGGATGGCCTACCTGCCTGTCAGCCTTCCATCTGTGCACAAACTTATCTCGTGCCCTCATTGGTCATGTGCGCGTTCGTGTGTGTTGGAGGAGGGGCTCTGAGAGGAAGTCTGAAGGAAGAGGAAGATTTTTTTCGGTTGTGTACTTTCAAATTCTAGCGCACTCCAGCTGGTTTCTCCATTCTTACCTACCCTACCTTTAATTACCGTAATTTGAGCTAATCTAATCTTGACTGAATCCCACTTTCCTGCTGCCACTAAAACTCGCTACATCACTGAATGTGGATTAATCCGCCGCTGAAAATAGTCCCGAAAAAAAGCACAATTTCCTCCCGTTTGGGTAGAAAGAGTTTCCAGCTGTTTGAAGAACTTGCTTCAAAGCTTTTGATTGTGGTGTGAAATGTACAGCTGATCTATTTTTAATCTGGATCTGTGTGAGCAGAGAAGGAGGTCAGAGGGAATAAAACCAATCCTGCAGACGGTTATAATGTCAACGTAATCTTATGTAATCTGTGGTGTGTGTGTGTGTGTGTGTTGTCTGGAGCTGGGAATGTGGGCTACACACACACACACACACACACACACATATATATTCGCTTGCCGTCTTTCCGACAGACTGACCAAAGCATTGATTCAGGTAACAGTAGGTAGTTATTTCGGCGTTGTTGTGATGCCAATATTACAATTAAATCACGGTATCTAGATGAAGATAAACCCGCCTCGCCGTCTAGTTTTAATCAGAAACAGAAACAGGTTTATCACCAGGTAGGTTGACACGTACGAGGAATTTGACTTAATGGCATAGAGAACCATTTTAGGAAAACTATAATAACATAAAAACATATTAAAGATAATAAAATGTAGCAGTATTTACATAGAAGTAGAATGGAATAAAATATGGAATAACATTTGGCAGTAAGACAAATATATATATATATTGTGCACAGATTATGTGCCTTAATGTAATGCATAGAGTCTATGATGTGATTTGTTGTGTGACACGGTGACTGAAATGATGCGGGGCAAATCTTCGCCTGAACGCACCATTACAGTTTGGGTGAATAACCCTTTGGTTGATTCGTTCATTTGAAATGTATCTGTGATGCGTTATAACTCGCCACTCTGCACACACACAACCTGATTGTGTTTTTAAACTGTTGCTAAGGAACAACCAAGACATATGAAGGTGTTATCTTTGCCTATGGGATTTGGCATCTTGTTTTTTCTAAACTAATCAGTTGATCAGAAAAAGGACGAGAGGTCACACACACACACACACACACACACACACACACACACACACACACACACACACACACACACACACACACACACACCGACCTGCAGGTACAGGAAGCTGATGCAGGGAAATGTTGAAGGAAACCTGCTTCAGATTGCGTTTCACTGCGAGCCCAGACTTGTGTGAAGCTGACATGAAGCTTTCTGTGTGTGTGTGTGTGTGTGTGTGTGTGTGTGTGTGTGTGTGTGTGTGTGTGTGTGTGTGTGTGTGTGTGTGTGTGTGTGTGTGTGTGTGTGTGTGTGTGTGTGTGTGTGTGTGTGTGTGTGTGTGTGTGTGTGTCAAAGTGACTCACTGTTCTTTCACATTTTACTTCATTTCATGGGGGTTGATCATAGCGTTGGTGTTTTGTTAGAGACTACTTCATCTTCACCACTGAAAGACCAACACACACACACACACACACACACATTTATAAAGATGATCTCTCCCTTTCATGCTGGAGCGCTAGCCAATAGGAGCACTAGTGTTCCATAGTGATGTCACTTTGTCCCGGATGTAAACAAAGAAGTCCAATGGAGGCTACATTTCACCGTTTACATGAGTGACGATGAAGACGATTTAAAGGATGATATATGTTGTATTAATTATTGTTTACACTAGGAAGGAGGATAGTTTCAGATTGGTGACTTGTGACAGCCAGATAATAAATGATACTGATCATTTTAAGAAAGCTGTAATCATGACATTTGTCTAATTATAAAAAGGAACATTGAGTAGCAGTGACTACCAAAGAAAGCCATGTTTTCTCTTCACAGCTTTTTACTAATTCCTCAGTTTTTTGGATGCATCTGTTGGGGAGTGATTAATAAAAACAGAAAAACACCTGAATCTGCAGATCTGTAGGTCAGATTTATTAAACCTCTTCTCCCTTAGGGCGGCACAAATCTGCATCGTTGCATGTTTTTAATTCAGAGAGCTACTTCCCTGATGATGCTAACATGCACAGAAGATGCAGCATGTGATGCAGAAAGATAAATTCTCCATGAGAGGTTCAGAGATCTTATAATAGAGAGATGCAGGAATGAGTCCTAAGTCCCTGAAATGAGTCAGCACTTCATCACTTCCTGTCCTCTAGTCTGGAGGTCAATGTTTTTCTGAATGTGTTTTTGGTTGTTAGCCTGAAATCAAGTCTGTGGTTAACACAAGCTGAAGAGATTTTTATTCTACGACATAAAATACATTGTTAAAACTAAATATACCCCACTGGTGGATTTAAAAACGGCTAACTTTAGCTTAGCGGTGGTGACGAGAAGTCATGTGACCGTGTTGTAGTTCCTTTATAGCCCAACATTAGCCACCTTTAGCTTAGCGGTGGTGACGTGAAGTCATGTGACCGTGCTGTAGTTCCTTTATAGCCCAACATTAGCCACCTTTAGCTTAGTGGTGGTGACTTGAAGTCATGTGACCGTGCAGAAGTTCCTTTATAGCCCAACATTAGCCTCCTTTAGCTTAGCGGTGGTGACGTGAAGTCATGTGACCGTGCTGTAGTTCCTTTATAGCCCAACATTAGCCACCTTTAGCTTAGCGGTGGTGACGTGAAGTCATGTGACCGGCTGTAGTTCCTTTATAGCCCAACATTAGCCACCTTTAGCTTAGCGGTGGTGACGTGAAGTCATGTGACCGTGCTGTAGTTCCTTTATAGCCCAACATTAGCCACCTTTAGTTTAGCGGTGGTGACGTGAAGTCATGTGACCGTGCTGTAGTTCCTTTATAGCCCAACATTAGCCACCTTTAGCTTAGCGGTGGTGACGTGAAGTCATGTGACCTGTGCTGTAGTTCCTTTATAGCCCAACATTAGCCACCTTTAGCTTAGCAGTGGTGACGTGAAGTCATGTGACCGTGCTGTAGTTCCTTTATAGCCCAACATTAGCCTCCTTTAGCTTAGCGGTGGTGATTTGAAGTCGTGTGACTGTGTTCACGATTAGGTCATTCTTTTAAAGCCTTGTGGGACATTTCCATTGTTTTAAATGGCAAATCCCTTACATACTGGAAAAGATCAACAAGAGCAATCTGCATGGGTTAATAAATACCATCAGCTATAAATGTTTACAAAGTGAACTGATCTTTAAAGTGATGCAGCTGCTCACATCACTGATTTACAACACATTAAAGCAAAACAGCTTAACCCCCTCCTCTAAATCTGAGCATATAGATCCTCATAATGCTGCAGCATAGACTGAGAACTACTGACAGCATGTGAAGCTCACTGCTGCACAGAAAGTAGAAAGTACATCTGATTTAATGTCTGAAATAACTTCAAAAGTGAATGCATCAGCGCAGACTTTCCAAGGTAGATCCACTCTAAGCTCATAAGATTTCTCACCTCCTAAGCTAAGTTAATGTTGCTGGTTGTTCTGCAAAAATGCTTATTTTTATGTGTTTCTATAAATAAGTCAAGCATTTCATATAAACACACATTCCTGTCTGCAGTCGGAGAAAGAGTGCAGTGTGCAGAGCTCAAACCTAATGGATAAAATGCTTTCATGTATATTTGATGAGATGTTTTATGCTTTAATGGTCTATTTCTGCATTTTCTATCAGGGGGTTTTCCAGAAAGATATAGTATGAGTACTGTACTCCGATCTTGTTTATAAGATATATCAATTATCTCGAGAACATGGCGCCCGTATACAAGATGTCACCTGACGTAAACAACAACGTGACGTAAACAACAACGTGACGTTGGAGCTCCGTAAAAACAAAGCAGTCTCTGCCGTCTGACGCTCTGTCTGATACTCAGATTTCTGGAGGAATTATACAGTTTCTGAAGAACAGAAATATTGTTTTCTGGCATCACTTTTACGGGGGAAATCTGCATTTTGGTTTGAGGGCGCACGCTCAGAGTAAGAGGAAAGGCAATACTGGGATATGTTACTAAAGTTAAAGTACTAATACTACATTGTAAATAGAAAAACTCCAATAAAAATCTCAGTTATTAGCATCATTGTAATTGTAAACTATCATAATAGTAATTATTCAGAATGGCTCGTTTCCGAATAATATATATAGAATCATAATTACTGATAACATCCAATAAATGTATACATTAGCCACCTTTGTGTAGTGTGTAGTGTGTGTGTGTGTGGTGTGTGTGTGTGTGTGTGTGTGGTGTGTGTGTGTGTGTGTGTGGTGTGTGTGTGTGTGTGTGGTTTGTGTGTGTGTGTGTGGGTGTGTGTGTTTGTGTGTGTGTGTGTGTGTGTGTGGTGTGTAGAGCGAGGTAGTGTCTATAATACTTATAGCAACCTTGAGTTATAGTGAAAAGAAGTCAATAAAGTCCAATATATGAAAATAAGAAAAATGAGGTTTCTTCTTCTGCCGCACATACCATATTGGTCCCTTTCACCAATAATATGTGTAACTTTTCGTAATGATTCGTATTTATTTGTTGTTTATGTACGTACCCAAAGGAGAATACGTCTACACCTCGTTTGTCGACGTCAAATGAAACTATGATG